GTAAATGGGACGGGAAATAGGCAGGCGGAAATAGGGACGGGAAATAGGCAGGCGGAAATAGGGACGGGAAATAGGCAGGAGGAAATACGGACGATGGAAGTATGCACGACGAGAGTAGGGACGAGGAGAGTAGGGACGGAGAGAGTAGGGGCAGGGATACTAGGGACGGGAAGTGTCTTGACGGGGAGAGTAGGGACGGGGAGAATAGGGACGGGGAGAAGAGAATAGGGACGGGGAGAGTAGGGAAGGGGAGTGTAAGAATGGGGATAGTAGGGACGGGGAGAGTAAGTAGGGACGGGGAGGGTAGGGACGGGGAGAGACAGGGGTAGTAGGGACGGGGATGCGCGGGACGGTGGTACAGAGTGATGCGCGGTGGATGGGCCATCCCCGCTCGCAACCACCCACACCCGATCACCGCCCCGCTCCTACCACATGCATCCACATGCAGGCCTGTATCGTCATCGCCATGGTGGGTATCGTGCAGTGAGTGCACGCGAATGAGTCACTTTGTCGCAGCACCATGAGGTCGAGAGCGTGGCGTCGCTGTCGGGCGAAATAGATTCCGCATTCAACCCACCTCACATCCACTCACCTCCTCATCCCTCCCACTTCATTTCACCCCCCCCGTTCCTTTTTTCCCCCCGTCCCTTTCCGCCCGCCCCTTTCTGCCCACTCTGCATGCCATGCTCTCCCTATCCTCCCCCCCTGCACATCCGTTCATGCAAAGCCGCTTGTTGCCCTCCATCCGCCCCTGTTTTCCTTCCTCAACCTTCCCCCTCCTGAAGGCCTAGGGGAGCGACTCTCTTTGAAAGGGATCTTAGTGGGTTCTCAATGCGCGACGCAGCGCCTCGTCACTGAGACACGATGCGCCTCGATCTCTCTCCAGTGCACTTCGCAGCAACGAGCTGGGGTCGAGCCCAAAGCCTCGATGCGCCACGTTTTCCCCACATTGGCGCGTTGCTCGCGCCGTGCGATGGGTTGGAAGCGGGCGTGCGAAGGTGATGCCTGGCAACGAGGACGGGCTGAGGACTGCGATGGGAGATCTGAGAGAAGCAAACAGTAAGTCGAATGAATGGACGGGATTGCGAGACGCACGCAGCGCGTCGCATGCATGAGGCCTCATTCCTGCCCTTTCCTCCCCTGCCTGCTTCTCGCCCCCGTCAAGCCCACAACACCGTCTATCCACTTCAAACCCCCCTGGCATCCACACCTTCCCGTGCTTTGAATCCATGATTCTTTTCAGGAATCCCTTGCCTCTTGTGGCATCGCTCAGTGACTCAGTCTCCATCCTCTCCCTCTCCCTCCCCCCTCCCCCTGCTGTGGAATGGTGCCCATCTGTTTGGTAAGAAGCGCGAAGTTCCTGAATGGCACCCGAGTCTCTTCCCATGAGTCCTCCTCCTCACCGTTCACTCTTGCCTTACTCCAACTGTACCCAATTCCACAAGCACAGCGCTCCAACTGATTGCCTTGCCTCTTTTCTTTTCATCTCGTGCCTCTACCTTTCCAGCAATCTGCTGCTCTCCAACGGCTTTTATTCCTATGAGTAATCCAAAACGATTTTACCTGCCCCCATCCACTCCCCCACCCCTTCGTGTCCCCCCCCTCCCCCCCCGTCGCCTCCCCTCTCTTTCTACCCCCCCTTCCCCTTCCCCCTTCCCCCTTCCCCCTTCCCCCTTCCCCCTTCCCCCTTCCCATCACCCGCTTCCTGTTTCCCACCCTCAACCCTCCCTTCTTCTCCCCGACTCTCTCCCCTCAGCCTGAGTTGCTCCTCCGACAACCTTTCCTTGTTTCATCCCTCCCACCCACCAACACCCTGTACCGCCGCTCATCATCCCCCCTACACCAGGACTCGGTAATGGAGTGGCACTGGTATATACAGCAGAGCCACCAGCTCGTGCACTGCACCCCGCCTACACTCGAGAGTGCATTGCTCGTGCTCCTCCACCTGCAATTTTCCACATCGGCCCTCCTGCAGGCCATGCCTCTCGGGTGCGTCTCACCCCCATTCTTTCCCATGCTGGAGCTGGATGGGATTATGCGTGGGAGAAATTAGTGTGGGTGGGCAGGGCAGGAAGTGGTGGAGAGAGACGAGGTGGTGGTGGCTTGGACTTATGGAAAGCGAGACAGACCAGGTACATACTGTGTTCGATCACTGTCCCCTGCATCTGCACTGTACGGGCTACGTATGATACATATAGTATGATCCACGCTTACTCAGGTGGCCCTGCCTTTGGCTGTACATATCATTCTCCAATATCAGGTACTTACTGTGATCGTTCACTATGTGTACACATATCCAGTTTACAGAATGGCAGATGATTCTTGTTACTGCCTTTCCCTCCTCTCCACCTCCCTCCCAACCTTCTTGCTAATGTGCATCGGAACTGCCAGTGAGTTTTTGGCCTCATGTCTGCCTGCCTCGATTGCTGTCCTTCTTGTATTACCTCTTCCCCTCCGGGCCCTCCCCTCCATCCCTTTCACTCACACCCAGCTAATGTGCCTTTGTGCAGACATTATGTTCATGTGCTCATGCCGCTCATGCCTGTGTCCCGTACTGCCCTGCTTTCTTCCCTTCCGCTCCCCGCGCATCCTTCCTTCCTTCTCCCCCCTCCCCTTTCCCTTGTATTAAGCAGCTCCTGCCCCACTGGTGCTGACAGTGTATTGGTGGGCACGTGGCATGACCTGGCGGCGTTATTGAGGACGAAAGTCCAGCTGAGGCGAGTCAAGGAGGCAGCCGGCAAGTGATGCTAAGATCCCGCATCCCCATGCATGGTGAACAAGGTGGGTGGATGGGTGGACGGCTGGATGCTATGTGCGCATGGACATGGTTGGATGGGTGGATGGGTGGATGGGTGAGGGCTATGTATGCATGTGCGAAGAGTATGCATGGTGTGGTGTGGTGTGGTGTGTGCATGGAGTGTGCATGGTGTGTGCATGGTGTGTGCATGGTGTTTATATGGTGTGTGCATAGTGTGATGCGTGCATGCTGTGTGCATGGGGTGTGTATGGTGTATGGATGCATGGTGTGTGCATGGGGTGCGATTTCTGTGGATGGTTTACCATGCATGGTTTTCCAATGCAGTTGTGCAGGCCATATGGTACCCGTGCATGTCATGGCTTGTCTCCCCTCCTCCCCTCCGTCTCCCTTTGCCCCCCTTTCCTTCACCCCCACCAGCTGGACAGCCACATCGATTCGCACATGCCACACTTTTTACCTTCTTTGCACTCCCCGTTTCTCACCCATTTTTTCCTTCTCCTCCCTTCACCTCCCCCCTCCCTCCCCCTCCTGCTCCCATCCCCCCTTCCCCCTCCCGCTCCCTTCCCCCCTTCCCCCTCCCCCCCCCCCCCTTTCTCCATATCCCACACCACCTTCTCCCACCAGCTCAACAACTGCATCAACTAACACATGCCTTGGTTCATTGGGGGCTAAACATGGAGAGCAACGGGACTCCCTTCTTACCAGCTGGATCGCTGCAGCCTGGTCAACTCACATGTGCCTCGATGCAGGGAGAGTGCAGCAATTGGTTCTGAATCTCCTGATCAACACGATTCGACGGCAGTGCAGCTCTGAGTGCAGCTCTGAGTGCAGCTCTGATCTGAGTGCAGCAGATATTGCAGCTCTGATCTGAGTGCAGCAGATATTATTTCTTGGCGCCTAAAAAACTCCAAGTTCTTAAACTAAATGAATATTTCGAAGTTCACGGCTCATCTCGTACCTCATCCCCACGCCTCATCCCACACCTCAAACCATGCCTCATCCCGTACCTCGTCCGATAGCTCCTCCCATTGTCCCATATACACACCCCTTGAAACACTCTCTGAAACACTTGGTCTTTCCTCAGTCCCTTCCCTCCCTTGCGTGGCCTTAACTCATGCGTGCCCTTCACTCAGTCACAGCATATTCCTCCCAATGTCAGAGGGGTACGAGATGGGGGCCACACAGCAGCAGAAGCGGAGTTGATAGTGACCAGCCATGGGGTTGCATTGAGTGGAAGGGGTGTGGCTGTAGTAAGGAGGTGCAGTTGTGGCAGCAACTGGATTTTGTTGTCTTCCATTCGTAAGATTGGCAATGGGCTCAAGTGGGACAAAATCTTCCTTGCCCCGAAATTCTGACCTGTGTAACTACGGTAGTTATCGGTATTCAACATCTCAATCTGAGGTCAAGGAACAAGTACAGATTGCAAACACCTACGGTATACTCAATCCACTCCTTGCCTACAAGCCTCTCCTCTGTAGCTGTCGATGTCCCTTTCCCTCTTCATCAGTCTCCACCACGCCACGCTACCTACCACGCACAGATCCTCATTACCAGCTTAAATCCCTGGAGGAATAGCAGGGACTCAGTTCTCATGATATGATGATACCACAGAAACTGCTGTGCCATCCAGGTCAAGTCAAGCATCTCAGGCCCTAAATCCACCATCTCAGCAAATCATGGGTGATGCTGGGGCAGTATCAAAGGAACATGAAAAAGTCACACAGAATATACTCAGGTGTTTACATGTACCGTAGTTGAAACGATGTCTTGCTAGTTCAATCATACCCAACACACTATACCCTCCCCTTGGTGCAAATATTTGCAAACATTGCACCCAAACAGCCAGGCATTTCTCATGCAGCCATGGGAGACATTACTCACACCTAATCTCAACCCTTGCCTGACGCTGCTGTTGCCACTGCCCACTGCTGCTGCCACTGCTGCCACCGCTGCTGCCGCCACTGCTGTTGTGCTCACCATGCTCGCCTCCCTCACTGCTCTCTTGCCCGCCCTTGTCTCCAGCTTCTCTGCCTCGCCCCTCCCCTTCCCCTCCTGCTCCACGTGGCCTCCCCTCACCACTTCCCCTTCCCTGTCCGCCCTGCTACTGACTGCTTCCCCCTCCATCAGAAGAATCATGGCCAGCATTTCCTATGCAGTTCCCTTCATGCACACTGTAGTCTCTTCTCTTTCCCATTCAGCCCTGCATCTGCTTCCGCATGCATGCCTCCCCGCTTCGTCTTCCCTACCAAGACACAGCCACATCCCCCCTCACCTCACCTCTATCTCCACCATCACTCCCTGCCACCAACCCTACCAGTCTGCGTAAACCATCGTTTTGGAGGCAACCCCCTAATGGCATCCACAGTTCTGTCAGCTTGGTCAGGGCAGTCAGCTGCTGCAGCCCATCATCCGTGACTGCTGTGCCATCCAAATCAAGTCTCTCAAGCCCTGTCAGCCTCCCCACATGTACCATACCAGCATTCGTCACCCCCCCGCACTTCGAAAGCCATAACACTTTGAGAGAGGAGAGACCTGTCAAGTGCGAGAGGCCAGCATCCGTCACCTTGGTCCGGTGGAGGAAGAGGGTTTCGAGACTGGTCAAGGACCCAATCCCTTCTAAGGCACTGTCTGAGACGACCGTGCCATCTAGGTCTAGCTTCGAAAGCCGTGGCAGCCTGTAGAGGTGCTTGATGCCCTCTGCACTGAAGCCTGAGCTAGAGGTCAAGTCAATGCTCGTCAGGTGGGTCATGGTGGACACAAGGTGAAGGATGTCGCGGGAGAGGCAGTTGAGATTACTCAGCTTCAACTGGGTCGCTTGTGATGCTGCCATAATTGCCTGTAGCAAACGGGTGGAGAGGGAATAAATGACAATGACAAAACATGGGATGTAGAACAATGAACGCCCCGGGGAAGAGGACCCCAACACTCACCTTCAATGCTTTCTTCCGATCGCCTTCACTCTCCCTCATTTCCAACTCAATATTCAGCTTCATGTCTTGAACGGTCTGCCATTCCTTACAGGCTGCCAATACCTCCATGGCACGTGGCCAGTTCAACTCCTGCACATCCCTCCTCCTCTCCTCCCTCTCCCTTGCCAACTCTGCTTTGATTTCATCCATTCCCTTACTGACCTCCTCTCTTAGCTCTCTTAAACCCGATTCCATTCTGCTCTCAGCCATATCCCACTGCTCCATCACAGCCTCCTTGCACTCAGCCAGCTCCCCCTTCACTGCATTCACCTCTCCTTTCACTGCAGCCAGATCTATCTCCCTCGCTCGCACATCGTCCAGGGCGTGCCTCAACGCGTTCACCTCATTCTCCACAGCCCACTTCCCTGCTTCCAACATCATCACTCGCTCATTCTGTAACGCCGCCTTATCTGTCACTGCTGCTGCCAACTCTCCCTTCACTGATGCCAACTCTCCCTTCACTGATGCCAACTCTCCCTTTACTGATGCCAGTTCCCCCTTCACTCCTGCCAATTCCCCCTTCATAGAAGCCATTTCCCCTCTCACTATTGCAAACAGCCCTTTAACTGCCTCACTAAGCTCACTCGCCTCCTGTTCCGCAGCCATCATCTCAATTAGCACCCAACAAGCATTCAAGTAGGGTTTACGAATGCTCGTTTCAGCCAAGGTAGCTTCAGTCCTGAAAAGTAGACAGGAGTGGGGAACAGTGGACTGAATGCAGAATGAAGTGAAGGGAGGCCATTGGTAGCAACCTCATCACAGTGAAGTGCAGCCAGGCAAGTGGAGGGTGATAGGCAGCAGGAGGAGGAGGAGGAGGGGAGTGGTCGCGGGAAGAGGAAGTCACGTTGTGTATTAAGTGGACATGAGCAGACAAATGGAGAACATATGCATGGGGGGATGAGAGAGGGAAGGGGGGAGAAGGGGGGGTGGGGGGGGGGAGAGGGTCTAGGTAGGAAATTGGTAGGAGATATGCTCGCAGGTTGTCAATGCTCGAAGGAAACACAAAGGGCGACAGGGGGAACGGGGGGAGTAGGGGCAGAAAAAGTAAGATGCGATCTGCAATATACCCTGCCCCTAGCGAGCGTCCAGCGTCTAGCGTACAGACGCCTAGCGTATATACGCTGGACGCTCGCCTTTCAGAGCGTCTATTCCCACATAAAGGGACAAGTAGCAGCAGCAAGTGAGCAGGGGATACGCAGAAGCAGAGGGAGGAAAGAGCCAGGAGTACCACCAGATAAAAGGATGGGAGAAGCAGCAGCCGCGGGGGAAAGAGCAAATCCAAACCGGAGCGGTTGCTTTCTCAAGCATGTGGTATGGTGCAGGTGCACTGAGTTCAAGCGAGGTGACGAGGCCATAGATGGAGACGAATCGAGTATATGTGCATGGAAGTGAATAGAAACATGGAAAGCGCAGCAAGGCAGGGGTGGATGGAAGGGAAGGAGCAGGACGCAACGGTAGGAAAAGTGAGGTAGGGAAAGCACAGGAGAAGAGGGGCAGCGGCGAGGCACCAGTGACACAACGGATGAGGGATGTGCGTACCTAGTGTGTGGAAGGGCAGTTGAGGCAGATGGTAACGGCGAGGAATCCGTCGGGAACCAGGAGCTTCTCAGCAGCCAGATGGATTGACAACGCCCAGCAGCCAGGGGGGGAAAAAGTTGTGAAAAAGATTAACGCCACACGAGGTAACGGAGAGGAAGTATGCTAGCAGGAAGAATTTGGCGAAAGTGGAAAAGTAACTTGATGCTGGCATTACTTCAGAGGGAAGAGCGAGGGAAGGGCGAGGGAGATGCAGGGGGAGGGTCAATGGCAGAACAGGGTGATGGAACGAGGGAGGATAGGAGGGAGGCACGTTACCTTCGAGGTGCCATGAGTCATGCACAGCACGCGCTACGCAACCCGTCATCCGTTAGCGTCTGCACGCCCATCCTCTCTCAATCATAAGTTACAATCTCATTGCGCTGTTCGCCTCTCTCGATCCCATTTTCGCCAGTCCCTCGTGGTTCGAAGTCCAACCATCGCGTCGATGAGCTGCGCACGGCACTCCATCGCGGGTATGTTTTCGACGGGGTGGATGGATGCTGTCCATTGATGCAGTGGAAGCTACATCATGCTATTCGCGTGGCGTGACGTGGCATGGCGACGGTGCCACAGCTGAAAGTTCTCGACCACACCGCATTGGCATGCAGTTGCGGGCTGTCATCGTTGGAGAACACGAGAGGGGTGGAGTTATCGTGACCGTTGACATGATCGTCGTCTCCGATGCACTCGGTGAATCGACCGCGCGACGCTTCCGAAGTCTCTAGCCTTCTATGTCCGCTTTATAAAGAAACAAGGCTGTCATGTCATAATGATTTGGTGGAGTGAATGTCATTAGGGACGATGCGTCATTAGGGTTGCGTCAGTGGGAAAACATTTCGTGCAGGTTGTGTTTGAACTCACTTTCATCTGGTAACATAGTGTTACAGCGCAGAATGAAACATCTCGACCGTACCGGACCACGCTGACTCCAATCTGAACCCTCTTCGAAGTGTTCAGGCTTCCCCCCTTTGCCCTGCAACACGCACGCACACTGCTATGCAGTCACGTCTGCAGTGACACGAAACCGGCGAATTCGCGAACGAGGTTGTTGGATAGCTCCTCGGAATCTCTTGGCTCAGACACGCAAATCTTCGGCGTGAACATTTCCTACTACTGCTTCTCTTCAAACCCGCAACATACTAGTAGTTATTATAGTCATCACGACACTAGCTTTTCCCGCTTTTATAACGAAAGCCAGTCGCCAGCGTGTGCTTGGGTAAAACCAGTCGCTTCGGCTTGCAAACCATTGGATCTGGAAAATGGTTGGCGACTTCGATGTTTCCTGTGAACCGCGGTAGGGGCATCTAGGACCAGACTAAAAATCTCGAGCTCCCCGTTTAACAAAGCCATATCGGCGATTTCGAGCCGTACTACGAGCGCCATCATGTTTAGAAAGCCTAGCGACGTTCGCGGGAAGCAGCTTTTGTCAGGAGCGGACAGAAAAAGGCTGCGGCGAAATTTCCGAGACAAGTTTCCAGGAACCACTGACGAGCAGCTGGAGGCGATCGTGCCGGCCAAGGTGCTTCTTAGTAGCTTCCCGCTTTAACCTCGTAACACCCTGCGTTATCCTCCACGTAGGCCCACGCATTCGCTCAGATGCTTGCGCTCTCCGGATTCCCCGCTGAGTTAATGGCTGAAGATTTTTTTGCGGCATTCCCAGGCCTTTTTTTCATGGAAAGCTGATTGTTTTGTCTGCTAATCCAGGCTGACGTGGCGGTGACGAGGCTGGCGAATCGCGTGCTGGTGTACGGACTCGAGAACGGGCTGCCCATGCTCTTCGATTGCGACGGCAGGGGCAACGAAATATATCCCACTGGTAACCACACGGAGATGTAACCACACACCCATCCTCCACACACCCCTCGCGTGCTGGTGTACGGACTCGAGAACGAGCTCCTCATGCTCTTCGACTGTGACGGCCACGGCACGGAGATCTACCCCACTGGAAACCCCTCCCTCCCCACCTTCTCTTCCGCTCCCTTCCCGCTCCTCTCCACTTTTCTTCCTCCCAACCCTCGTGCAGGTCTAATGAATTCAACCACCTGTGTTTGATGTGTTTCCCCTGTCCTCCACTCCCATCCATCTTGAGACGTCTTGTACCCAACCCTGACACACCCACACCCTGCAACCTCACACCCCGTCGGTTCCCAGTGTTTGTGCAGCGGAGGGCGCCCGACCTGGTGCCATCCATCCCTCCTGTGTTTGTGCTCAAGTCAAGGGTGAGGAGGTGGCGTTTGAAGCGACTCAAGAGTCAGCTCACCTGTCACACCGATCCTCTCACCCCAACCCTGCAACCCACTCCCCATCCATCTGCAGTGTTTGCGCTGTGGCGTGTACCCGACCTGCTGCCATCATTCCTTCTCACGGGCGAGGACGTTTCCCGCTATCTTCTCTCGGGGGCTGACCTTATGGCGCCGGGCGTGCAGGTACGGTGAGGTGAGGCTATAGAGCAGGAAGCACCTAATAATGCATTGGGAGATCTTGTTTCAGACTGTTTTTACTAGAAATAAGTGAAAGTTCTCGCAAAACTAACACACATGGTCCTTAACCCTCCCTCCTTTCCCCCCGTTACTAACCTCCCTGGCTTCCCTTCTCTTCCCCACCCCCCTTCTCCCCAAACCCCCGCTGTCCCCCCTGGTCCCCACCTACAATGTCCGCCACCTACAATGTCCCCGGCAGGTGCCTGTCGAAGGTTTGCCGGCGTTCCAAAAAGGGGAGGTGTGGTCGGTGAAGGTTCCAGGAAACTCCTGCCCCATTGCTGTACGTGTAGTGTGCCTCTCCCCTTGCATCACAATTCCCCTTGTTCCACCTTCCCTCCGTCCGCACTCTCTTGACTTTTGGGGCGCATCAAATGTGACGTTGTCTTTCAATCCGTATCTCATAGTGTCTTCTTCCTCTGCCCGCACTCTCTTGCATGTGAGAGCATGGATTTGCACACATGTGTGTGTCTGCATGTGTGCATGTGTGTGTGCGTGCATGACTGTGCGAGTGCATGCGTGCGTGCGTGCGTGCGTGCTTGTGAATGTTTGCGTTCACGCACATCAGGTGGGCATGACAATGTTAGGGAGAGAAGAGGTTATCCAGTCAGGCATGAGAGGAAAGCTTCTCAGAATAACCCACTCTTACCGCGATTTGTTATGGTCAGTATGGCTGAAATTTGAGTCGCTCGCTTCAAAAATCGCCTCACTACTACAAGCTCTTCATTCGAATATCATTGTGAATGTTTATTGACCAGTATGACTGACAACCAGAGTTCTTATTCAGCATGCTCCTAGCGTAGGTGGAGCGTCGCACTATGGTGACGGCCTATTTTCTTACGCATGTCACCCAAGGGATCTCGGAAGACAACAGATTTTAACAGTCACCCGAGCTCACGCCAGCACTCTCATCCCCCAATGACCAGTCTGTGGTCAAGACGACCCCTACAAATATCTTAGCCCCTACATGGATTGGTCTGTTGACCCCTCAAATTGTTTCATGAGGGCCTTTCTGTGGTCAAGACCACCCCTGTCTATCAATGGTCAACCTAACTTCACCGCCAGCTGTCTATGTTCCGGTGGTCCAACAAGGGCTGACACGTGGCGTCCCATGTTGGCGCCGACTGGAAGAAGAGCCCAACACGGGTTATTCACTTATGGTCCCTCCCTCCCCTGCCCTCCCATCCTGCTCTCGCTACCACGATACAGGGAGTGTGCAAGAGGATCATATGTGCCCAACAAGGGCTTCCTGCCCAATATGGTTGCGCCTGACCCTGATGCACAGCCCACACTGTTGGATGCAGCTCCTGCTGTTGCACCTGAAGATTCACCTGAAGCTTCACCTGAAGATGACTCTGGTGCTGCTGCAGCTTGTGGAGGAGAGAGTGAGGGTAGGAGTGATTGGGAGGGAGGGGCAGCAGCGGTGGCTAGGGAGGGACTAGCAGCAGTGGCAGCAGCAAGCGGAGGAGAAGCAGGAGCAGGAGAAGGAGCTACAGCAGAAGCAGCAGCAGGAGCCGAAGGAGCAGCATACGGAGCAGTAGCACGAGATTCATCAAAGCACCTGTCACAGTTTCTGCAGGAACAGTGCATCCGTGGTAGTGCCGTCGCTGCTGCTGGAGTTGTTGCTGCGGTTGATGCTGCTGGTGATGGTGATGCTGCGGCAGCTGCTGCCGCTACTGCTGTTGTGGGCAGGGAGGTTGATGAAAAAGCAGCTGGTGCAGGCGAAGAGTGCGCACCTGCAGCAGCACCGTCAGCACTGATGCCAGCACCATCAGCACTGATGCCAGCACAAATGGATGAGCTGTTGGATCGCTGTCTGCTGCAGGCCCTCTCCGTCTCTGTCAAACCCTCCCACCTGCCCCTGCCAGCTAGCTCCCTCTGGTAAGCTGTCCAAACTCAACCTTTCGTACTTCAGCCTTCACTTCATCCACAAGCGATTGCGTATGGGACAAGAGTGGCACGTGTAGCCACGTATTTCCCACAAATCTCGTAGCTTACTGCTGTTGGCATGACATATCCGCGCGTGGTCTCATGTGTCAGGTACAAAGTGCCTGTCATATCAGTCATGTGATTTGTTGCTGCCCTGCCACCATGCTATTCGTCCTGGCAGGTCCAATCACGTGCTGCCATGTCGGCCGCCCGGCACCACAGTGGACATAAAGAAGTCGTCTCACAAGAAGCTGAGCAAGTGGCTGCATGCCAAGGCTGCTGATGGGCTCGCGAGTCAGTGGGGGAATGAGTGAGTGAGTGAGTGTGAGTGTTGTCCTCCCTCCCCCCCCCTGCCACCTCCCCCCCCCTGCCGAATCAGATAAGCGGCAAGGAGGGCAAGCACCGCAGAGAGTTCATCATCTCATCTATCAACCACCACCACCCAACCCTTCCCTTGCACCTCTTCCATTGCACCCTTCTGCCCACCCCCCAACCTCCCTCCCCTCCCCCACCAGATAAGCGGCAAGGAGGACAAGCACCGCAGGGAGTTCATCATTTCGTCTGTCAACCACCACCACCAGTCCCTCCTCGCATTCTGGCCTTATAAGACACCCCAAGGCCAAGCCCCCACAACTGCACCCCAAGGTGGCTTAGGGATAGCTACTGGAAGCGGCACCATCACAACCACCACGACGGTAGAGGAGGTGTTCAAACCGTCTCTCCACGTGGCTCCTGTGTTTGAGTCCGTAGGGCTCGACCCACACGCCTTCTACTCCGCCTCAGCTGTTCGCAACGCTGCGCTCTCCTACATCTCCCTCCACTCGCTCTCCGAGCCCTCCGACCCCTCTATAGTCGTCCTCGATGCAACGCTCTTCGACGCACTGTACAAAGGCGCGATAAAAAAGGGCGCGACGTACCCAGCACAGTGTCCCAAGAGGGACATAGGCCCCATGTTGCTGCAGCGAATGCAGGCGCAACACAGGGTGGAGAGGGGGGGGAGGAGCGTGGAGCGGAAGGGGGGGCTAGAACCAGTGGGGATATTTGTGAGGGGGCGACAGGGCAGCAGGAGAGTGACACGGGTGACAGGCGTGGAGGCGTATCTGGTGGAGGCTGAACCTCTTGCTGCTGAGCTGCAGAAGAAGTTTGCCTCAGGCGCGTCTGTGGCTCAAGTGCCAGGTGGGTTCACCTGCAAGGGGTTCCAGGGCTATACCGACTCTACCAGGTCCTGACCCGAACCTACCAGTTTTGGAAGCAGGTTCATGCATTGTCTTTCGTTTAGGAGCACCCTGATTGCACAGTGCCAGCCATGTGAGTACAGCAGAGCTGCAGAAGTGCTAGAGGAACCCGTCCCTGCTGCAAATGTTCCGTGCCCCGTTTCGTTTGCTGAAATCTCTATCTTTCACCCTTTCTTGTGTAGTCCAGTCCGGTTCCCCCTTATTTCCCACTCCCCTCCTGTTCCGCCAAATATCTTCATTCCATCTCTTTCATTCCTTACCTCCCACTCCTTTCATTTTTTGTCTCTTCTATCCTCTTTGCACATTGCCTTTGCCCTTGCTTGAAGCAGGTACGGGGAAGCATGAGGTGTTGATTCAAGGAGGATTTTCGGATAAGCTGTCTCGACTGCTTGTGAATGTGCATGGCATCCCAAAATCCTATGTCACGGCAAGGTGATGCATGTAAGCATCCTGAAGATATTGTAGTTTGTACAGTATGCGACCGACCGCTTAGGGTACATTCCTGTCTGGACACAAATGTCTCAATCCCGTCATAAAACCAATGTACCGGTCTGCACCGCATTAAAATTAAGAATCGAAGATTTCCACCGCACTGCATCTCTTCGTTTGAGACGCGAGGCCTTTGTGACGCGCTTCAGGAATGTACCCCGTTTGTACTTCTACATTTACAGCTCATCACAGCTTGTAGTAGTACCGTAATCCCCCGTATATAAGACCCTAGGGTCTTATGATAATCACCCCTAAAAAGGCTGGGGCATATAATTAAATTGTATACTTTTTAGAAGACCCGGGCCTGTTCATATTGACATTTATAAGAATGTAGTTTTGGAGCTCAAAGAAGTGATTTGGAATTGCTCTGTTTTTAGCTCTTCCCAAAAATACTCGAATTGGTCTCCACACGGGCCGAATCCATGTCATCATGAACCCTATCTGTGAGCCTCCTCCCATTGGCTACCAACACCACTTGGTGTTCACACGACAGCGCAGGGCATGGTTTCAGGGTGCGATTTCTCTTAATCATCATGGAATATGACCATATTCAGTTGCATTTTTGTAAAATCCGCCCTTCTCTAGGATGTAGGGGGGGGGGTCTTTTAATGTTAGGAGCCATTTGTCAGAATGTTATTATCTAGCCTGTAGTGGGGTGCTCTATAGCGAGTACAACCCAGTTAGGGTTTGCTATATGTATCCCAACTGCTGCTAGTGAAACCCCTCTTTCGTCATTCTTCTTTTGCACTCTTGTTCATTTCGAGACCATTTAGGGGGGTATAACTCAGATGTCTCGATTAGAGTACCCGGGTCCGTATTATAGACCCGGGGGTCTACAACTGGTAGGGGTCCTATATACGGGGGATTACGGTATATCCATTGAACGGAAGAAAGGAGGGCGAGGCTCCATGAAGGCACAGAGAAATCTTGGGAGGACTGACTCTTCTTGTCTGACTCTCATTGCATGATGGAGAGTCAGTCAGACGGCACATTTGCAAGAATCAAACACCATCAAAACCAGACAAGGGCTAGTGTGGATACCCTATATGGTAAAACTACTCTTCCGTCTGGACTCTGATATGAAATAAGGGTGAGGGTTGAAAATGAAAAAAACATCCGTAATATTGGCAGGCACACTATCAACAATCTAGCCTTGAAAATGGGATGCTTACCAACAAGCATGTTTGCATGAGCAATATAACAAGCAAGCCCCAAGCAAACCCCCTACCCAGCAAGCTCACACTCCCTCGATAACCACTCCAACATGGAGTAACTCTCGCGGTTCAGAGACCTTATTCGCCTAGCATTCAATTACGGTACCAATCTACATAACGGCACCGTTCATAATTTCCCACCTGCATGCGCACTGCTGTTATGCAGTGAAAAGAGGTATAGTAATTCATAGCACCTTGGATACATCCAACAACCTCAGCAGCACCTAAGCATTATCATCCATACTCAATCCTGGTTATCAGAGGCTCTAATGGTGTGCAATCCATACATCCCATCAAGACAGTCGGTGTCAATGTCTTCATCACACCCCGAAACATCCAAGCTATGAAGCATCTTGAGTTGGGTTATATCCGCCGGCAACTCTTCCAGCTTCTTACACCCGTGTAGGTCGAGATTCTTGAGCCGGCTCAGCTGCCCAAAGTTGCAGGGCAGGGAGCGCACAAAGGTGCAGCTAAGGTTCAGGTCGTGAAGGCAGGAAAGCTGGGTGAGAGAAGCAGGGAGCGTTGCAAGGGGTGAGCAGCCCGCCAGATTCAGCTGGCGCAGTCGAGACAAGGCGCCAATGCCATCTGGTAGGGGGGAAAGCTCAGGAGCATGGATTTTGATGTATGTGAGGCGATGCAGCGCGGTGACACTCTCTGTGAGCTCCTTTAACTTCACAGCCTGCTCTATTTCCAGCCGATCCATTAGCTGGAAGATTAGAACGAACGGAACAGGCTTCTTTGGGAAGCTCTTCAGGCGGCCAGCACTTGCGATCTTGAGGCTGCGGATGTTGGGGACAAGGTCAAGCGGCAGCGGGAGATCCTCTGCCTCTCCCACCAGCGACAGCTCCAAGTGCTCCACGGCAGGCAGCGCCATGCCAGGGACCAGCCCCCGCATGAAGGCAACGCTTATCAGGCTCAACCTCCTTAGCCTCGGCAGCAGAGGGATTTCCAGAAAAGGGGTGAGGCGCTGGAAAGTTCCCAGTGAGAGAACCTCGAGGGAACGGGGCAGGGATGGCAAGAGCTGTGGCAGCTGGGGGAGCTTAGCTAGAGCCAACTCCTTAAGCCGTGCAAGGTTACTCAAGGAGGTGGGGAAGGAAGAGACGTTGCGGCATCCCAGGACTTTGAGAACCTCGAGGTTGACGAGGTCAGTGAGGGAGTCGGGGATCTCTTTGATGCTAGTGAACAACTGGATGGTCAACTCCCTCAGGTTACTCAGCCTCCCCATGTCCCCTGGCAGCTGGACTATCGCACAGTCGACCAGCTCCAGCCTGGTCAGGGAAGTCAGCTGCATGAAGGAGGATGGAAGCAACTTCTGCGGGTAATTTGAGCTGAGATGGAGCGTGTGAAGGCTGGTGAGCCCACCAATGTTGTTCGGGAGCATCAGGTTCGGTGCAATGGGGATGTAGAGGGACTGAAGAGCTGTCAGATCACCGAATGCTGCAGGGAATCTGAAATGGGCAGAGCAGTGGACTAGACTGAAAGCTTCAAGGGAGGTGAGCTGGTGAAACTGAGCAGCAGCGCAATATGCTCCTTCCTTTTCCTAACCAGCGATCTCCGCGTTACAACTTCTACGCTGCTGCCAAATCACTCACCTTCCGCCTCACCCCTCTCCACTGCCAACAAGCAAACGTCAGAGCAGAGCGGACAAGACTAGAGAGAACCAGACCAGAGCAGATCCGAGCAGGGCGGACAAGACCATAACGCCGGACCACCAGGGCATCACACGGCCACACCCCAACACACAGCGGGCTGCAGAATGCAAGCTAGTGGGATGGCGGCGGGTGAAAAGCGAAGAGATGAAGGTAAAGGGATCGTTTACACTCGGAACAGCTCTAACGAGCAGCATTGAGTTGATGGGTGGGGGAAAACTGCCATTCGTCAATCTCTAGATGATGAATGGCGGCGCGACGTGGTAAAATGGCGGCGCGACGTGGCCAATTGAAGGCGGCGTGACATGGCGACATGCAGCGCGACGCGGCGAAATGACGGTGTGACATGACGAAATGGAGGCGTCGCATGGCGAAACGGCGTGGCATGGTGAGATGACGGCGTGACATGGCGGAAAGAGCACTACACGGACCTTCGGAGGGGTGCAATAGTCACGTCGGCAGGAAGAGCATACAGGCGCCGAGCCGATAGCAGAGCCTACTTCTGACGCCTCGAACGAAAAACCTAGCTTTCCGCTCGAGCAGCGGCGGCTCCTCAAGGCGATTGAGGAGAAAGCAGAGGTGGATTGCTTTGAATTTGGTTTTGCCTGCTGGGAGCAAACTTTATAGAGTTACCGACTTCGTTCATGTCGCTACAGCAATGTGCGAAGCTCCGAACTCTGCGAGGTTCCGTTCCGAGTTCGCAGAAATACAGGCCAAAACTTGAGTACACACCTCATGCAACCTTTTTCCGTGCCGAAGCAGAAGGTATACGTCTGGCACGCCAGACTCGGAGGCGGAAACTTCGGAGGTTTACGTTTGGTTTGGCATTTGGTTACGAAACTACGAAACTATAGGAGTTAGCACATTCGTTCACGTCACCTAGGTTCGGCTGAGTCTACGAACATAGCGGAGTTCAGGCTCGGTCAAATCGACGATACCGAAGCTGACTCGTGTCGCTTCCGAACCTTTCGGCTCCGCCTTTCCCCAAACCTCACCAGCCGACGTTTTCGCCTCCTGCCAAAAGACTAGCCCTTCATTAGACTGTATGAGGTCATTTCTTCTCCGTTCGACAAAAGCGAGGACGCGCCCTAAACATCACAGTTTCCAACCCTAAAATTGTGTTTCTAGCTCACTTCCGTGATTATCAATGGCGATTTCTGATGGCCGTGCATGGAACCGTACCGGTTTTTCCGTCCACACCATAGTCGCATTGGCGGAATCGTCGCGGACAACCCAATCTACCATGCGCAGTCGCTATAGCAACAGCCATTTGTTCCCTCAATAGTAGCTCCTGGTAGCATTTTATAGCTAGTATTAGTAACAGACGTGGTTTCCAGCTAGCAGCTACAGCGACGACCCGTTCTCCTGCCTGTGTCGCCAGCTGCTGCCAGGTTGCGGTATTGTCAGACTCGAGACCGTCCGGGACAATCATCGCTCTCCCTCCACCGCGCACCCCCGCCTTGCTCGGCGCGCAGCTCTCGCCGCTGCTGCGGCAAATGCTACTGTGCAATCCCGCCTTGCGTCGAGGCGCGCGCAGCTCCTGTTGCGGCTGCTGCTGGGTTGTGCTGCTGCTGGCGACTGCTCCAGATGCCAGTGACGCTGCGCAAGTGATGCAGATCTTGCCACCACATCGCGATCTCGCTATTTCCGCGGCTAAACTGAACGGACGTCTTCACATGAAACACAGAGGTGATTTTCCCCTTAGGCCTGATCGATCATGTGCTGTGAAAAAACCGATGCGCACGGATACCTTGGCGGCCATCCAGATGTGGGTGCATGTGAGAATCCTCTAAGGCAGCCACCAGGTCCCTGGGGGGGACGGGAAAGGGCAAGGCAAGTGAGGGGCAATCCATGGGGGGACGAAACTGGCAGCTGGGATAAATGGAATGGGTGGCACGGGGGAATTGGCAGGAGGGAGGGGGGCATTGCAGCTTATGGCAAAGCGAAAGACATCTTGCTGCTTCCATGCAAGGCAAAAACACAGAGAGGCATGAAGAATAAATCGAAAGCGGGGCAGCGGGCTAGGATGGGGTGGATGGCATGGCTGGTGTCTGTGTGACGGACCAGATGTGAGCAGCGAGGGCGAGCAGCATGTCCCACGACTGGTGTCTGTGTGTCCTGTGTGACCACCTCCAGTGCTCCCTTGCTGCCATGCACAGCTCGCTGCGTTGCCCTCCCACTCCCACCACTGCCTTTGCTTCCTCCGCTCTGCGCACACCCCACCACAACGGCCTCCAACTCCAACAACTGGCGCGTAGGTGTGACGATGTCACGATGCCACTCCCACCGTGCAACCCCCACGCTGACGCTGCTGCTCCGAATCGCACTGTTCCGTCTGCTCCTCACTCTCCCCAGGCCCCGCCTCGCCTTCTCCAGTGGCTGCCTGCCACGTGGCAGGCCAAGTCGGCCTGCCAGCTGTAGTCCTTTCACTGCTGGCATGTGTGGCACGCCGCTCCCCTGGGACACCACACCACCAAGCCGATCACTCCCTTAGCAATGGTTCAATCAGTTTGCTTCAACTTGAACTTCTCTACTCTGCTTGCTGTCGTGGTAGGGAAACAAGTTGCAGCAGTGCAGTAGTTGCACCGAGCTCGAGCCTACTTCCTACCAGCCTGCCCGGACCCTTCCCACTAGATCTCCTGGCGAACCGCGGGAAAGCCGAGCTGATAGCGTTGGTTTCTATGTCTTGGCTGAGCCAGTGGCCATGCACAGGCTGGAAGGCGCAAAGTAGAGTATGGCCAGCCTGCCATGCCACTGCGACAGTGGCCTGGCCATTCACCGCCTTCCAGCCTGGTCAAGCTGGAATTTAGCTCAAACACTCAAACACCGCCTTCCTGAGCAACACCCCACCACACCAACCTGGACTGAGCAACACCCCACCACACCAACCTGGACTGAGCAACACCCCACCACACCAACCTGGACTGAGCAACACCCCACCACACCAACCTGGACTGAGCAACACCCCACCACACCAACCTGGACTGAGCAACACCCCACCACACCAACCTGGACTGAGCAACACCCCACCACACCAACCAGGACTGAGCAACACCCCACCACACCAACCTGGACTGAGCAACACCCCACCACACCAACCTGGACTGAGCAACACCCCACCAACTTGGACCGAGCAACACCCCACCAACTTGGAAGAGGGTGAGAAGGGAAGGGGAAGGTGGCTAGTATCAGCCGTTGACTCGGCGAATTCCAGCAAGCACCCGAGCTGCACCCTAGCCGCGTGTGCGCTCACGGCGGGGTCAAGGCAGAGCGGTGCATTGAGTAAATGAGCGCATCACAACTCAACTCATTCGTGCCTCGCGGGGAGAGAGCAGCAGAGAGCGCGGGGAGCAGCAGAGAGCGCGGGGAGCAGCAGAGAGCGCGGGGAGCAGCAGAGAGCGCGGGGAGCAGCAGAGAGAAGCGGAGAGCAGCAGAGAGCGCGGGGAGCAGCAGAGAGAAGCGGAGAGCAGCAGAGAGCGCGGGGAGCAGCAGAGAGCGCGGGGAGCAGCAGAGAGAAGCGGAGAGCAGCAGAGAGAAGCGGAGAGCAGCAGAGAGAAGCGGAGAGCAGCAGAGAGAAGCGGAGAGCAGCAGAGAGCGCGAAGAGCAGCGGAGAGCGCGGGGGGTAGCGGAGAGAGCAGCAGGGAGCAAGGAGAGGAGGGAGGGGGCGCGGGGGCTTGATTTGTTTGACGAGGTGACAGCACCAAGCTCTTCTGCGCTTCTTGCCGCACATCTAAAATCATGATGCGCCGCCTGTGTGCTGACGCGGCAATGCCGTACCATGAGCGCACGCGGCAGTGCGGTAGCAACATCAGCGCACGCGGCACACGGCGGGAGTCACACGCCGGGTGCACGTGGAGCCGTCGATAAGGTCGAACGCAGCGACGGCTGGGAGCCCAAGGCACGGAGCGGTGCTAGAATAAGCGCGCAACGAGCGCGCGGGAGGCACATGCGTGGCGCACACGGAGCCTTTGAAGAGGCCGAACGGCGACGTCGTCGCGGAACGCGGGGAGCCCGAGGCACGGCCGGGAGTACACCGGCCGCCCGTGCGTCTTCGAGTATACGCGCCGCGAAGTCGCCATGCCGCACGAACCAAGCTTGAGTGCACGAATTGTGCTGTCGCACGTAAGGACCTCTGGGGAGGCTCTTAACGTCAGCGTGAACGACGGCTTGGGAGTGAATTGGCGCCATATGAGCAGACGACACCATTTCTCGCGCGAAAGGCTGCTGTGTGGCCAGCGAAAGTCCAACGAAGCCAGGTGCGGCTCGACTAAATGAAGGTTGTTGATTTGCCTGAGCAAACAAAATGTTATGGGTTGAACAAACAGAATGCGCAGAAGTCTTCTGTATTGAGTCTGTGACTAACGGAATGCAAATACAATGAAAGCGTCGGGCAAGTCCTGGCTAGGCGAGGACATCGGGGCATGCGAGGTTTGGAATCGTGGAGATTGGTGCGGGGGCGACTCGAACTTGGTTCGGGGCGAAACAGTAGGCCCTCGGAAGTTTGGCGAAAAGTGCAGGGGCGACTCGGGGGTGGTTTGGCGCGGTCTGAATGCCGAACCACCTGACGCGAACACCA